AAAAAAAAAAAAAAAAAAAGGAGGTTTCAATAAATATTAAAAAGCACCGAGTGGGAGTGGGCTGCTGTGCCAGGGATCCCAGGGAGGTTCATTCCCTGCTGATCTCTCAAAGCAAAGCCCTCCCAGCTGGCTCGGGATAAATCCCGGTGATTTCCAAGAACCAACTGAGCAGAAATTCGGGGGCACAATAGGAGCAAGGGAACTGCAAACAAAACCCTTTGCCAGCACAGCCAAGGCGTGTTTCGAGTTAAGCACAGCTCTCTCCTCCCTCCTTCCCAGCACTGTAATATTATGCCTACAAGTACAATTTAGCCAATAGATTCCTCCCCCACGAGTTTAGCAAAGAGGAGCCGCGGGAGGAAGTGTGGAGCAAACAATCCTGCACAGCGTGTCCTTCCCAACTCACAACACAGCCCCAGCCACTTGTCACCCTCCTCCCCCGGGCCACCAGGCACCGAAGGAGAAAAAAAAAAAAAAAAAACCCAAAAAAAACGGGAACACGAGGCACTTTGGATTCAATAGAAACCGAGGAGGAAACACCTACACGGAGGAAAAGTGTTAGCACAATCTCAGCTGGTCACGGAGATGCCAAGGAGAGGAGCAGGCTGCTGATGGCTGTGTTTGCCAAAGACGGGAAAGGTGACATCGCTCCAAAGCCAATGTCACAGCTGCACATCCCATTTTTCCCCAGCAGAACTCGGCACTTCTTCGAGGTCTGTGCTTCCCGAGGAGAGAGCTGAAGATGACACCATATGTTCTACCAAATGTAATTTCCCCCAGATTTATAGAAAAAAAAAAAAAAAAAAAAATAAAAAGCTTCCTAACGACGCGTAATGAGCTATTACCGCCTCGTCTGGAAGCAGAGCTGACCAAATTCAATCAGCTTTTCCAGCGTTTGTTAAAAAGCTGCCTGATCAACGCGCTTGTTATGCTAAAATATCTTCTGTTTCCTCCACAAATCTGGTGTCTATTGAATTGTCTGGTGACCTCAGGCATTCAAATGATGCTGTTCCCCCTTGGTGGTGCTGCAGCCCACACGTCTGCAGGAAAAAGGAGCTGGATTCTCCTTCAGCCTCAATTTTTGGTTAAGTAAGTTCCAAATGAAGAATCTTCATTATTAGTGACAGAGCCGGGGAAGGCACAGCTTGAATTTCAGATTCCCAGATGGAGGCAGCAAAGCTGGCAGCCAGAAAAAAAAAAAAATAAAAATCTCTTTTTTCCTTGGAATTTGGATGCAGAGCCATTGAGTGGCAATAATGACAGAGCCCCACGATGCCATTTGACACTTTGCAGCATCCTTGTCCTCACAAAATCCCCACCTTTAATGCCACCAACTCCTAAATAAAACCTATTTATATCATCCAGTCCTATTCTGCATCTAAATAACCCAAACCAAAGGGACAATATTATCAGCTTCCATTATTTCCAGTTTCAGGATGTAATTTCTTCCTCCTTACAGGGAAGAGCTGGATAGTTTTTGAGTGGAAGGCAAAAAAAAAAAATTAAAAAAATCCCCACACAGTGCTTTCATTTCAGTCTCATTGTTTTCCAGCTGCTGTTGGCTGGCTGCAATACATTGATGAACACTATTAAATTTTTAATTGTGAGGCATTTCATCAGAGCTCACACAGGGCTTGCACAAAGCCGGTTTTATTCCAGTTTTTATTGATATCACTGGGTTTTACTACAGCAAAAATCATCAGCAGGGCCCTTGGCTGCTCTCTAACAGCAAACACACAGCAAAACACTCTGTCCTTCCATGAAGGCTTAATCCACAATCCCTCCCTCCTCTCTCCACCATTCAGATGTGAATCATTTGTAATGTCAAAGAAGGAAATTTGCAGCGCTAAAGCTGCAAATTTAGAAGCCTAAATCTTTCCCAAAGGGCAGAGCTGCTTCATGGCAGAGTTTTACAGTCCCAAAGAACACAAATCCCCTCCTGCCCTGGTGCTGCTCCACCACCAGCCCCGTCAGGAGCTGCCTGCTGAGAATTTCCATCCTTGGAAGTGTCCAAGGTTGGGTTGGACAGGGATTGTCACAACCTGGGATAGTGGAAGGTGTCCCTGCCCTGACTGAGATGATCTGAATGATCTTTATGTCCCTTCCAACCCAAACCGTCCTGGCATTCCCTGGAGATCAGGTGAAATCGTCCCCAGTCCACAGGTAAATGATTCCTTTTTCAAATAAATTAATTGTTGAGGTTCACTGGTTTAAAAGCCATGAACCCTCACGTGCTTCCAAGGGATTTCTCCTTCTCCCTCAATGCAAAGCTCTCTGTAAATAA